TTCTTCTTCTTCTTCTTCTTCTTCTTCTTCTTCTTCTTCTTCTTTTTGGCCAGAAAACCCATCTCCATCTAACTTCAAAGAAAATGGTTTTTTGTCTTCATTGGTGCCTCATTGGCAACTGGTTGACATGTTCTTGGTTTTTGTTTGGTTTTGGTTGTTTTTGTTTTTAGCTCATTTGGACTACTGTAACTAAAATACCACTGGCTGGATAGTTATGAACTAGAATAGAGGGCCTGTAGTTGCACAGCCTGGTACAGAACAGACAAAGGCTTTGAAGATGTTACTGTTTGGTGAAAGCACATTTCTTGGTTCAGTGAAGGCAACTTTTACTTGGTAGAAGAGTCAAATTTGTACTCTGGAAATACAAGTCTAGTTCATAGGTCTTGGCTCCACCCCTGAGTCTCAATTGCCTCCCAATGACTTCAGCCTCTAATTCCACCAAACAGAAATTTGGGACAAGGGCAATGTACAAATATTTCAACTATAGCATTTTGATTCTCAGTGTTATCTGTATTCATTGCTTTGCCATACTTGCTAATATGCCCTGGGCCTATCTAAGATTTCTCATCTAAAAGTTCAAGTACCCATCCTGAACATTTCCTGGTGAATATGTACAAATTATCTCCCTAAAGTATAGGTTTTTCTATGACATGAGGATTCTTTCTTTACTCAGAACAGTGTCAAACAAACAAGAGACTGCCTAAGACCGAAAGGAAAACTTGTTGACCCAGATGGCTTGGCCTGGATTCAGAGTTCCTAAGTCAATAGGTCTGAGAAGAGACCTAAAACCTTACAAGTTGTGTCAGTGGTTCCAACATCATCCCCGGAGAATCATTCATTGAGAAAAATTCAGCCTAATTCCTAAATTTATTTTAAATTTCAAGCTTTGGCCATCACTGGGTCAATTTATGATCAAAGTAATAGAATCTAGAGGTATACATTCTATGTGTGTGATAGCAAAGGCGAGGCAGTTCTATCAAACAACTTAATACTATCATTTCTTTATTGGAGAGCTTCAGAGACAGGTGTCTGTCTCTGAGTCCTTAACCCTCAGTCTCCTAAGCCCTACATGACTTTGAACACAGGTAGTATTCATTGTGCCCTGAAGCTTTCTCATTTTTCCTCAAGAAATGAGGATTTGCCTACTGAAAAACAGATTATAGCACCTTTGCAGGCATTTACTTAGTGTTATCTACTATTGTTCACACTTGAGTTGTCCTTCAGATGCCCAGCCTTAGAGCCATTTGCCTTTGTAATTCTTAGTTCTAATTCTTACCATAATTCTGTAAGGTAGCTATTTTGTGCAAAGTTGATGGGAGAACGTGTGATAGGTGATTTTAGTTGTCAATTTGACATATTCTAGAATCCTATGTGAAGAGAATCTCAATGGATGGAGGTGTTATTTTCCTAAAGAGAATTGCCTGTGGACATTTCTGTAGAGGATTGTCTTGCTTAACTAATGTGGGTGGGAACACAAAGTCCACTGAGGACAGCTACAGTTTCAAGGTTTGAGTCCTATGCTGTGTAAGAGTGGGTAAAGTCAGGTGAGTGGTAGACCATATGTATTCATTCTCTGCCTGCTCATGACTGTGGATGTGACCATTTGTTGCCTTGATTTCCTCACAATAATGGATTATGATGTGGAAATATGAGCCTTATAAATTTTTCTCCCTTCAAGTTCCCTTTGTCAGGATATTTTATCACAGCAACTAGAAAGGAAGCTATGATAGAAATCTCATGGAAATTTAAACTGCATCTGATTTGGTTTTAAAGATGTCTTCTTTTCATTAATCATGTTGGTCTTGTTAAATCTGTGATCATATCATCCCCTTGCTTCTTTATTCCTCATAACTTTGTACACTGGAAAAATATTCAGCAAGTGTCTGGTCTTTTTCCTTTGGTGCTGGGGTTCAAGCCCATGTCTTTCATTACATAGACAAGAACCTTGACATTGAGCTATGTCCAACCTCAAGAAAATTCAACTGACATTCCTTGATTGAAGGAATTCCTGGCTTATCCGCTGCTGTGTCGTACCAATCTCTATACAGCAACCTGCCTTCATTGAGCTTTGGGAGTCTTTCTGGAAGGTGCTTTCGTGGAAACCTTGGGTTGTCCACAGTGAGTGAGTCAAGATACTGCTTAGCATCAATTTCCAAATGTCTCAAGAATTTAAACACCAAGTAGTGATTAAAATAAATTAATGTCAAACTTTCCATAGTGTGGCCATTCACCATTTGGATTTTGATAAGTTGGGAGATAAAATTAATATTATAATGAAAAAAGTCTAAATTATTCTAAATAATTTATCCCAAGCCCAGCAAGGGTTATTCAGTCAATTCTGATTCTGCCATTGTGTCAATGATGGTTTAAATTCCCTCATCTCAATCTAAGTGTATGGGTAGGTAAAATGAAATTAGTTGCACCAAAATCAATCTCTGCTTCTCTTAATGTTTAAAATTAATACTATGTGAAAGTCAAATGTATTGACTTTAATTCTGTCTGTTGTGAATATGTCATTTCTGTGTTCCTTGGGATCCTGAGTGACTTGTCTTCCACCTCTCAAATCATGTAAACTCCTCCAAATGGATGGCATGTGCATCCCTTTACAGTAGCAACTCATGATTATTCCATAGTCACTGATATTAGAAGTATACTTTTCAAATCAAATTTAAGGACTTAATTAAGTTTTTAAATTATTTTTCCAAGGAGGTACTTTGCAGTACACTTCTCTAATAATACTTTTAAAATCTATCTCTAACTTTCTTTATTGAATTCTACTTTGAGCTTTTGGAGGGAGACAAATTTCTTCATCAGGAAGTGTATTTCTGGTTATTAAGATGCACAAGGGGAGTGTCACTAAAATTTGTATCTTCCTTAAGTTTTCAATTACTTACCAGGGGTGCATTTCTGAGTCACCATCTCTACCTCCTCACAACCAGCAGCTTGGCGGATACACTCAGTAGAACCCACACATGGAACTTTTACATTCTGTAAAGAATAATATATAGTATCTTATATAGCAATTAGGTAGAACAAATATGCTACAATTTGTAATTATCATAGCTATTACCATTATTTTTAATGAATCCATTCTTGAATTAAGGTTATGCTTGGTTTACTCACAGTATTGTTAAGACTGTTATAAAAAATGAGCAAGGCTCTCAGCCATTTATAATAAAAGCTGAATGACTAAACAGACCTCCATTTTTTTATTTGCATTAATGAGTTCATCCCCAAATATATATGCAATAATATATAAAATTAAGTTATAAATGTAGGGATGTGCTCCAAGTCACCATGAAAATCTGCATGCAAATGCATAATAATCACAAATCTACAATATTACAATATTAAAAAATACCCACAATTAAATTATCATGTGGAAATAATCATAATGTTATTGGAAACTCAATTATTGTAGCAAGCCTTGTCGGGGAATTAGCAGAGTATGGCAAAGACAAGTCAGACCTGAATTCATCAAATATATATTATCACAATATTACATGTTCACTTCGATTCCATGCAAAGACAAACATCCTCTCTCACTAGTATCTGCTCGATGCATTTGTATTATTCATGAACAACTCTGTGATGTATTATACATACAAAACTGATTGTACGCTTCTTGCCGCAGGCTCTGATGCAGAGACACAGAATTAATTTTATTATATACACATGCATGATAATTGGGAAGGATTTGGTCAAGTACCAAACTACTCCTGTGCTCCCTTATTCTACTTTCCAAAAAAGAAAGAAGCAGTAAGAATGTCAAAAGTCAAAAGCCTTTTCTTTTCATGAGTGAAATTCTTTGTCACCTAGTACAGAAAGTTCTAAGGTATTAATGAGTCCCCAAATGGGAAGAATGGTCCAAATACTGCTCTTTATTAAATCAAGCACTTGTGTTCAGTTTTCTCATGTACTCAAAACTTTGGTTCAAGAGACATCACAATTGGAAGTGTTTGGGAATCGCTTGTTCACTTCGCCCTGTGTCTGGCAGCTATGGTAGAGGTGGTCTGACTGAACTGTTGTGTTAGTCACTAAAACTAGGCAGGTTTAAATGTAACAACTTGCAAGGATAAGGCTGCCAAGTGCTCTGTGTCATCGTTACCACCCTCTTGTTTCATCACTTCTGCACTTGCAAGGCTTGTGCCCTTTGATGACTTTTTTTTTTTATCTTTCTGTTCCCATGCTTTTCAGAGGGCTTTCCACATAGGAGAAAATAAACACTTGTTTTGTGAGTTGAAGACATTAGTCTGGCATTGCATTCTGTCACAATCATCTGATTTTCAAGTTGGTCTTTAGCAGCACTAGCCAATAGAAACAAAATATAAACCACAAAATTTCCTGGAGCCTAGACTAAAAGATAGAGCAGAGAGAAAGATACTCAATTAATTTTAATAATTTCCTATTTAACCCATTGTATCCACATGCTCACACCTTCAAACCACACTTTATATGAAAAATGTAAATGAGGTAATTATTGCTCATCTCCTTTAGGGAGAGCCTTCTCCAAGAATCCACTATGCACATGGCCTGTAGCTGGGTGTGCAGAAGTCCCCCCTCCCCATGCCATTCATCCATGCAGACTCATCAGTCAGTGCACAATCCAGATGAGCATAGCAGCAACCCCTTTTCCTCTTCAGTGGAATATCTGTTTCTCTGATTTAGAAGTGTCCACCCCACCCAATAAACAGAACAAAGAAAGATCACTTAAAGCAAACTTGAAAAGATGGCAAGGGACATCCATTTTTGCTCCTCTGGGACTGTAGATAGAGTTGCCTCTGGCTCACACAATCTCCTTTGCTCTCTCTGAATTAAAATGTCCATCGAAGAAAGAAAAGCATGAAGGAAACCAAACATAATCGAACAGTTTCAGGAAGCAATCACTTCTCTACCTAGTGCACCATGTTTATGCTACTAAGTCCTGATTCATAAAATGATATAACACTGTATCTTAGGCCAATGAGGAGAGTTAAGTTATATGTATTGTTGTTC